AACCCCCAAACCCCCAAACTCTAAACCCTAAACACTAACCGTTAAGACAGTAAAAGCCACAAGGTGTCGGGAAAATGTATTTTCCATGGTTGCGCTTCATCGCCCTCCTACCCTCCGCCGTGTCGATCTGCCCTGAGGCCTTTGAGGGATAACTAGCAGAGGCCCTTTTAAGGGAAGTATAAGGGCTCTATCAGGTTTAGGGTTTTAGAGTTCAGGGNNNATATAGGCCTTGACGAGGACCGTCACGGACCTTCACACAACACAGCCTAAGAAACAGATGCTCGTAAAGAAGTACGGTCTGCTTTCATCTGGGCGCCTCGAACCACTACATTGGCTGCAGCTTGAGTGTTTGATCTGTTCCGTGGGCCAAGGGCAAGTTCCGGGCCTTTTGAGGGGTGTAGTGTGTCAGTTATATAGAGGTCGCTTTTCGGATTTCCGGCTTGCTCCCTGGAGCATAGAAATCATTTCACTGCCCACGCTGCGCACTGCCCACAAAGAGGGTTGCTTTCGCATTCTGGCTTGATGGTTCGTTGAGAAGCACCGGGACGGAAACCCCAAGCCCGTACCCAACCAACCATCGACCGAAGAAACCACTTCTTTTTGGAGCTCCGAGTATTCCCCGATTCCTTACAGGACGGTAAACCGCAACAAATGTTTAAGCCGTCGAATACCCCAAACCCCGAGCCCATGCTTCGGAGCATGTAACTGGTGCCATGATCCTAAGTGGACCCTGAGGAGTTTGCTTGAATCTTGTTGCAACCTTGGCAACCCTGCCAAGCGGACCAGGGCAGAATTTCAGGAAGAGGGCCTGATAAGAAAGTACCTGATATACAGATCACAGACCGCTCCGAGTTGAAAGCGGTGCGGGATGCTTTACCTTTTGCGGCTCTGGACGTTTATTTAGGCATTAGACAACATGTTCTGCGAAAAACAGGACAGACACGTCCTGCGACAAACGCGGGCCCCGCTTCACTCTAGTAAGGGCAACGATGTTCGTCCTGCTTGTGGCTGGCCAGCCCCAAACCCTAAGTAACAGCCCGAAAGTCTGCCTCCAAACACGAACTCCCTTCTTAGATTCTTGGTTTCTAAAGTTCCACATTCAAGTGGGGTACGTCTTTCAGCCAAGGACGAAAAAGGATTCGGGTTGTCGGTTTGGTTTGGGGTTTTGTGGCGGGCCTCTCCTGGTATGCTGTCGCTGCGGAGTCTTCTGTGCTTCTGAGGTGTGTACAGCAGCTGGAGGTACATCTTGGCCATGCAGAAGCTGGGCAAAGTCTTGGTCTTGGTGATATGGCCCAAACCCTGCTTCACTCTGCACCCGCTTCGGGTCTGTGAATGGTTGTAGGAAAGCCTTC